CTGGCTAGACCAGAGGATGGACACTGGTACAGATAGGAACTGGAACACAGGGAATCCAGGGCGGATGATCCCTTCAGGACCAGTGGTGTGAGTGGTGATACTGGGAGTATAGAGGGAGAGTGGGTTGGAAAGGGGAAACCGATTAGAAGGATCTACATGTGACCTCCTCTCTGGGGGACAGACAACATAAAAGTGGGTGAAGGGAGACGTCGGACAAGGCAAGTTATGTCAAAATAATAATTTATAAATTATCAAGGGTTCATGAGGGAGGGGAGCATGGAGAGGGAGGGGAAAAAATGAGGAGCTGATGCCAGGGGCTTAAGTGGAGAGCAAATGTTTTGAGAATGATGAGGGCAATAAATGTATACATGTGCTTTACACAATTGATGTATGTATGGATCGTGGTAAGAGTTGTATGAGGCTTTAATAAAATTATTTTTTTTTTAAAAAGAAGTTTACCTCGACTAGCCCCTCTGGTCATCCTGCAGAGTGAAGTAGAGAGCTAGAGAAAGAGAGGAAGGGCCTCCACAAATGGACTGACCCAGTGGCTACCACAATGGCTCAGGCACAGGAACAATTGGGAGGATGGCCCCTGACCAGGCAGGGTTTCGCTCTGTTGCACATAGGTCACTATGAGCCTAAGTCAATTCGAAGGTGACTAACAGCAACAGTAACCCCTCTGGACAGAATTATCAACAGCTCTGTAGTACTCATGTGACAATGAAGAGAAGGCTGAGCAGCTTCTCATTGTTTCTCCATGGGATTCAGTCATGGTCCTTCACACCCTATTTTTTTAATCTGTATCATTGAAGTTCATGATTTTCCTCTTTCTTTGGAATGGTGCCAAGTGAATGGTACCCTTTGCTGACATGCTCATTTCACCAAAGGAGCCTCTTGTCCTTTCTTCTTACCACTGACCCAAGAAAGCATCAGGAACGTTGTTCTCCTAAAAGTCAAGGTTAAAAATGACAGTAAGCATCCATGCCTCCCCTGGGAGCAGGAAAGATCACAGTTGACCCTGGTGTTGGTCCTCAATGTCAAGTTAGTGCTTCTTCAGCACAGATTCAGTTTAGTCAACTGAGTAGTCATGTGCCCTGTTCTGCTAGTGGAGAGCAGATCCAACTTGTTGGGAGGTGCTGTGGCCTATAGGTTCCCACCCATAGTGACTCTTTGGAAAACAGCAGGAAACACCACCTGGCCCTGCACCATCCTCATTATTGTTCTCATGTCTGAACCCATTGTCTCAGCCACTGTGTCCCTCTATCTGGTCTTCCTCTTTGTGACTGCCCTTCTGCTTTGCCAAGCATGTCTTTTTCCAGGGATGGGTCTCTCCTGACAACATGCCCACAGTATATAAGACAAAGTCTTATATAATTCTCTTCTAAGGAGAATTCTTGGTGTCCATCTTCCAAGACCTATTTGTTTGAGCTTGGGCAGTCAGTGATATTTGCAATATTCTTTGCCAGCACTATCATGCAAATACATTAATTTTTTTTCTGAGCCGTGGTGGCATAGTGTGGCTACATGATGAGCTGCTAACCAAGAGGTCAGCTGTTCCAACCCACTAGCCAGTCCTTGGGAGAAATATGAGGCCTTCTTCTCCCTTCCAGATTTACAGCCATGGAAACCCACAGGAGCAGTTCTACTCTGTCCTCCAAGGTTGCTCTGAGCCTGAATCCACTCAATGGCAGCTCAAGCAAGGGGTCTGGCAATGTGGTTGTCTGTCATGCCTGGTTCACTTGAAGATCCGTGGCTCACATCTCTTAAACCCAGAGAGCCCATATTGCCTCATCCTTCCTGCCTGCATATTCTTTTCTTTCACCAGAAAGAAGGAAACATGGGCACGTAGTTTGAGATGTAGCTAGTGAGAGGAAATGAAAAGAGTTCCTACTGTCCTTGAAAGTCAGGATATTTCACTAAAGTAATATTCACAATTTCCATACAGGTGGCATTAATCAGATCAACATAACGTTAAAATTCAAGACCATGCCACGGTACTAAAAAGCATTTATTGCTTTTTTGTTCTTCCTGGGGCCTGTATTTTAAACAACAAC